AGGTAGATCCATTTTATCCTTGAAAACCATATTGTACTTGTCAATAAAAGTAACCAACCATATCCCCTCAAATTTCTGCTCTTGCAGGCATTGTTTAATATAATTTGCTCGAAAGAAGTTCGATATGACATCTTTTTTGTTTGATTCGGTTTTAACGTCTGTGCTTTATATGACTTTTACTCTCTGGTCGCTGATAGTCTGACATACATAATGAGTTTTTGAGAGCATGCTGTATAAACCGTCTGGAGTCATATGCTGTTTTTTTCAAGATATATGACTGTTGGCGAAAATCTGGTGTAATTGGAAACCTTTTTCAGAATGATATTCTTTAAGTTTCTCACATGGCAGCAAGTAATAAAATTGACATCTTTATCTCCCGTCTTTAGAACCACCGGTCGTAAGCGGTTGATCAAATTTGCAATAAAATGGTAGCTACAGATGTAAGTACTCGGATATCACTTGCACTCAGGTCTTTTTCTACTGTAGAAAAAAAATTGGTTATTAATGTACCCTTTACATTCAATTTGATATTATTTATTTTACCTGAACCAGATTCATCTTCATCTTCTTCACTACCACTATCAGAATCAGATTCTTCCTCATAATCAAAATATTGTTCAGTCTGTGGTTCCTCTACTGAATGAATATCGATTTTAGTGTCTGATATTGCTTCCTCGAGTACTAATGAATTATATATTAGTAACATAAGTAAAATAGTTTTATAATATGAATATATACCTTCTTCATTCTTATTATAACAGAATACCTTTTTCACTATTTTTTTCAGCAGTAGCTTGGTCAACCTCATCACCTTAAATCAGAAGCTTAAATAACCTGTACTGTTGCAATCTTAAGACACCCTTGCTCTTCTTCTTTTGTTTTTCGGGTCTATTCTTGGATTCTTTTTTTTTTGTAAAACCGTTTTTTGGCAAATTCAGATCGAAGCAGCATTTGCAAAATGGTTCTAGTATCCTTTGTTGATTTTTTAGGAGTATATAGTTGTTGGAAATTGGTATATAAAGTTCGAAGCGAGAACTGGAGCCACCGAGGTGCCACAATTTTTGCTTCTACGCCTTCCATAAAGTCATTAAAGTCTGAACTAGCTAGTTCGACGTCAGGACAAGCTGCTTGAATTAGGCTTCCATCCAGCATTGTTTCCACCATTATCTTGAGTATATCCTTAATTCTCTCAATAAGTAGCGTAACATCATTCTGCTTTTGTGTCAGCTTCTCCAAAAAAGCTTCCTCATCGATACCTAGCTTGATCACTTTACTGAGTTTTTTTTGTTATCATGTCATAAGTAGTAGCTGTACTTGCTATTTCAGTATCCTCCGTGTCATCTTCCTCAATATCTATTTCTTCTTCCAGTTCAATCAGAAAGTCTGTCTTTTGAATACATTCGATCTGAAACTAAACAATCAGGTAATTCCCTTTATCTGTCAGATCTGACCATAAAGGTATTCTATGCAAAACTTTTTATGGGTCAAAAACAATATGATATGTAATAGTTCTATTAAAGTATTGTATCAGGACATTATTCCTTTATCATAATCGCTTATCATGCATCATGCCATGATTATAATATTATGATTTGCCAGAACGATAAAATAGTGAAAATCAATGTTTCTCTGAAGTAATAAAGATAACAACATTCTCTAGTTTTTTTATATATTCGCTATCTCATCTTATTTGTGTTAAGTTAACATCTACTTTGTATATTTTACTTCTTCAATTTCATCACTCATTATATAACTTTTTTTTCATTTAATTTTTGACCATTCAGATTTTTGCATTTTTTAAAAGTGCCATAATCGACGAATATACCCCCTTAAATAACTTTCATGTGTTCAAAATTGGAACAAAAAAAAAACACTCCATCGCATCATCACTTATAGGTGTCGTTATGGATACTAATTATATTTTTGAGATACTTAGTAGCTACTATATTTCCTAAATGAATTTGCGTATATTTTGTATTATAAAAATTGAGCATAAAGCGTAAATAGAAAAACTTTGATGCGCAAATCGTTTGGAAAAAACCAATAGTACACCTTTTCTCAAAAAGTGTACTCAGAGAATGTGAAACCTTTATTAATTCATAAAATATATAAAACTTAATCAGCATACGAATCTTATAGAACCAGGGCTATCAAATAAATATTATACTTATTTGACACAAGTGTTTTTTTTTCAGAGGTATTCATGTCTAAAGGTTGGCCCATTTAGATAGAGAACGGTGATCCCCGCTTTTTAATTAAAATACTAAAAAGTATATGTTTTTAGAAAGCTTTTATACCATTTTAGGCATATAAAGAGCAAGTGGAGTGACTTCTAGTATAACCATTGAGTTGCCAAGCACTGAAGGTTGTGCGAATAAAATATGTGTGTCGTAACACAATATTTTTTGATCGAATGTATTACATTAGTAAGCTATTGTTATAAATGGTAAATAACTTGAACAGACAAATACAATATCACAAAGCATCCCACTTCAATACGTAGTAATTAGTTTTTATTTTATCTTTCTCACCTACTATCATTTTCTTAAATAAGGTTGATATCAGTATTTGGTTTAAAATTAATATGTCATGGATACATTGGCTCAGAATGATATTCATATATTCAATTTTAAACTTAGTGCGTATACACATATATATATATGGCCTTCTTAGGGATAATGTTTAAGCAGCCAAGAATATGAGTAGATAAGCTTAAATAATTAGAAATTAGGATATAATACTTAAATAAAAATGAGCTGATCAGTTCGATTGAAAGGGTATCAATATTTCGAAGATAATTCGATTGTTCGAACTAATGGCAGGCTTTCTGGTCTGGTTCAGCTATATATGAAAACTCATACATACAAAAAAATCTATAAACACTTTACTGGACCCTCTGGAACTATACTCTCTAACAGAATATTTTATTATATGTAGCATGAGAAGTTTCATATTTGCTTTAAACTCACAGTCTATTCTATGTTTACTCTTAAAAAAAAAAATTATGAATTAATCTGGTAGAAAGTATGACACCAGTGCTTTACCCATTTAAAATTAAAAATAAATAAATAAAAAATGGCCCACAATTTTACGGTTATTTAAAAATTATTTATTAATCTTCAGATCACATGGGAATTGACATTTCTTTACTGGGGTTTTTAAGCTTGTGGATGTGTGCGGCGCTGACTCTGTCGGTCTAATTGCATGTTTCACAACACGGCCACCAAAGAAACTTAAAGTTTGTTTCCACACTGGGATTTTCGTTTACATTTTATGTAGAATATCAGAAGATAACGGTACTAAAACGCAAACTAAATTTCATGTTAGAAAGTTAAATGAAAATGAAAAACCAAGATTTCTTTTATTTATTGTCCATTTCAAAAGTTCGGCTTACCGGACTAATATTTTTATGTTCAGCAAACCGATTTTTTTTCTTTAAATTCATCTTTAATAACGGAGAGGAGCAGTGTTAGTAGTAATGCACTAGAGGTGATACCCACGACTACCACTGAAAATATTAGTCAAGATGGCAGTCAAGCTCTATCACACCCCTCCTCCTCTGTGGATAGTTTATTACGACGAGCTGTTGATATTGAACCAATAATTCATCATAGTAATAATGATCTATTATCTGTGACATGTATGAGCCATTCGGAGGCATCATTGTTATTACAAAAGTACGAAGAAACCTTTAGACAACTTCAAAGTTTAAAAGATACATATAGCTCACATTTTAGAACTCTTAACACTCAGAGATGATAAAATAAAATTTGATAGACCGGTGGCATTTTTTTTAAAAAAAAAATAGAGTAGTCACAAAAATTATTGCGTGGTAGTTGATCATAGAGACAGTCATATTAAAGATCAATAAAGGATAATTCGATCGGCTTCCAGTTGAAATGAACAAATAATGAGGCACGTAGTCATGTAGTACGATTCATAACGATATATTACATCATATTGAAGAAAAACACAATATAAAGTAACAAAGATAATGCATCCATATAACAGAAATAGATTCAGTAGAAGTGGGGGATAGTCTCACTATCCAACATAATGAATAATGACACAATGACGAATGTTTAAACGTCTAAATGAATAATGAACTTAGCTCGTTTTAGCCCTATCATATTAGTCTCAATTTTCTTCTCATTGTTACGCCTCCTATATTCAATAGTGCCCGTAGCTGTATCTATACTTGATCCACGCTCTTGATTTATCTACCTGTCAACTTTTACTCTCCGCTCTGGATATATTGAATTATATTCATGCTTTAGTTGATATTTTATTTTTATTACTGTCACTCAAGATATTTAGATTTAATTCTATTTTGATATATTCTGGATTATTACCTTATCCATTATATCTTGAGGATTTATCTCCTTTTTATTAACTATTTCCTTTTGTATTTCTTATCTTACTCATTCGATATTATTCGGAAACTATCTATCTATTCACATGGATCGATTATAGATTCACATCTATATTTTGTATTTGTAATAATCTTTTAGATTAGTTTTCTTTTAACCGATAATGGTTGATTGAATTAATATAAATACTGTGATATTTATCACTTAATAAACTTCATCTTTAACTTCATATTTATTTTTATCTTATTACTTAAAGCGTTGGCACAGAAGCCCCTTTATTTCTTTTATTATTTATATTGATTGTTGGCATCGAGGTGTACTCTGCCCTAATTTATTGTTGAAGGTCCATAGATATTATATTGATTCAGTTCTATAATTCTGTGTTATTATTATTTTTATTCTATTTATTTTTTATATCTTTCTCTCCTCTTGTATAAAAAGTCTATCTTTTATATAAGAAAACTATAGTAACAATACTTTAAATTGTTGGTGTTCACTATTACCTGCGAAACCCACTCGAAACCTAACAAGATCTAACAACACTACTCTGTACTGAATCTTTAAAAACTAAAAAAATGATTAACCTAAAGCTGATTATAAATCACAGATTTCGCGTTTAAAAATTTATAATGCAGACTGCGAGGTTCGAACTCGCGCATCTCTCGATACTAGCGCCTAAAGCTAGCGCCTTAAACCACTCGGCCAAATCTGCTAACTATTGCTCGTAATAAAAATAGATTTAATTAATTATGATTAATCACGTGATATTCATGTGAATATCACGTGATTAAGGAGATGTTGGTTAAGACTTTTCTTTAAACTTAAACAGAGAACAAAGGAAATAACGATAAATGATATTAGAAAAAACCTAAAAATTACAAAATGAAAATACAATGACTGTCTAATAATTTGTAGAGCATAATTGATCACATAAATAAATATCATAAATAGTAAGATGATCAGGAATACGGTTAAAATATATATCCATGCTAGACTTATGAGATAGTAAAATAAACATAAAGAATTTATGCTAATAAAATAAACATTGTGCACCATTTTTAAAATATAGATCAGAACTTTTTCATTTCAATAGGCTTGAAATAGAGATGTTAATGCAGTTTTGAATATGTGGGCTGTGTTAATAAATATAGTGCAAGTGATAATAACAGTAATTCAAGACCGTTGCCAAAGTGTCGTTGCATTCAGTGTGTTCACTACACTGCTATTCAACCGTTATACAGTGCCTAGTTGCACCTACTCTGAAAGTGAGTTTTTTTTTTTTTTTTTTTTTTTTTTTTTTTTTTTTTTTTTTTTTTTTTTTTTTTTGCTTATACTTTAAAAATCATGTTCTAATCAAATTATCTGAATTTTGCGAAACTGTTGGAGTAATTTGTAATGATATTAGATATAAGTATTAAGATAAAATTGAAAAGCACAAACAACACTTTTGAATATAGAAAACATCAGTATTCATACAATACTCCTTCTTTTTAGCAATTATTATTTTGGAATTGTACAAAACGAAAAATACATATGGCTGAGGAAATCAGATCTCTTATATCCGCAGAAAATATAATGGTTAGTAGAGCCTATTATGTTTAGAAGCAGGAGAGTTCTTTTAAATTGCATCAGTTATGTCGTAAGTGGCATTTTATGGTTTTGATATTATTAAAATTTTAATATATGTTCTATCGCTTAATTTAAAGATTGCTATTTATCCTTCAAATCAGCGGGTAGTATCTGGAAGCAAAAAATAAAAAAATATTCTCATATTGACTCAATACATCTATGGTTGTATACAATCTAAAATCAACTTGTGTAAGGTTGTGTTATTTAGAAAAAACTAAGCCAAAATCTGTATTTTTTTTTTATTAAAAAAAAACAGAAAAAAAAACTATATATAGTTTTAATAATCCAGTTTGTTTTTAACGACTTATCAAATTGTCTAAAATACTCAATATTATTAGAAGTGATAAAGATACTGAAGCATTTACTGACTAACATCCGCCAAATATGAACCTCGCAATGAGATCTCCTTCAATAACACCAATTACAAAATATAAAGATACATATTCCATAATATGATTACCAGCAGCGATTGATACTGTGCCATCCTCAGTCATTTCAACCTCTGAATCTCCCAAATCTCAAGCAAACTCACTAAAGCATAAAGTGATTTTTTTTTCTGCCGATACTCTTGAACCTCCAGAAAAAAGGTGCTTCAACTTCCTATTAATTTAGAGAAAGAAAAAGTTATGGATCGTATGTCAGTAACTTTATAAGCACCAAGAAACAGGGTTTTAAACCTCTTCCTGATCAAAAATAAAAAGAGAATCAGAATACTAGGAATGGAATTCGAACGCACGAAAAAATAAAACCAATACACTACCTGAATTATTACTTGAATCTCATCAAAAACTAGATACTGAATTTCATGTAAAGATGGAAAAAGATTATTGCACAGATATACCAACAGAGAAGATTGAAAAGTACAATGTAAAATCTTATTGGATTTTATTTGATGAAGATATTGGTGATTCTGGGAAACACCTTCCTTTAGTCGAAATTCCAAAAGAAAGAGGTTTAATATATAGCATATTATTTGGTCCTATGAGTTATCCTATATTTACATGGATTACAGGGTTGTGTATGCTCTATGTATTCATATATGAATTAATTAGAAATAATACTAAAGTAGCTTTATTTGTTAGATTTTTTTTAGCATTTCATTTTTACTGTCGTTGAGTACTTTTTTAATCTGATAAAAGATAAAAAATGAAAAACCCGACTGTGAACCAACATATATAACTGTAATGAATATTATACTAAAAGATATACTTATAAATAATAGCGAATAATCTCAGTTAACAATAGAAATTGAAACAACTCTTGATTTTTTGGTTTTTCTTGAAAGTAAAATAAAACAAATTGTGAGGTGATAGACAAAGTCTATGGAACCGAAGGACAATTTTCTTGAAAGAACGCTCAGAAAGAAGTTTTTAATAAACTAAGGTATAGTGGTTTTAGGTTAATTTTTTTTACTAACTACAGATCGGTGTAATGATGATCATAAATTATATTTTATTATATTTATTTGGGACTGTTTGTAACCCTGCTCTTCTAGTAGAATCGTATGATTCGATATTTAATAGTGTGGTAGGTAATTGCCCTTATGTTCTATATGTAAATGTCGAATCCGTTTACCTGGGATACAGTCATAAACTTATTTTATGTACGTTATTTTGTCCTTTATCTTATTATTATTATGTCTCTTGCTGCGCAAATTCTTGTAAGTGATAATTGAAGGACGAGAAACTTTATATCCTCAAATTTTCTTTATCGTTTTTCTTTCATTTTTAGGGTAATATTGGGGTGAATTAGTTAACTTTATTTGTAAATTAATAAATTTTTCTATTTGTTATTTTATTTTCCGAATAGTAGTACGCGTTTCAATATATAAAGACCATAGTAAGGATCCTGATAACTATGTCATTGACTTTCATAATAAAACTATTCGACGTACTTACTTAAACGATGTAAAGAGGTGAGTTTGTAATCAAAATATTATCTTATAGGGTTATCTGGTTTTTTTTTAGGGGTTGTTTAGTACCTCCGATTTTATTTATCTACTGTACTCCGATGTAGAAGTTGTTATGTCATGCATAATAAATGTTAAAAATCTCGATCTTTTATATCGTGATCTTACTTAGGGGTATTACGACTGGGGTCTATTTCTTAGTACATGGCTTAGTATGGTTATAATGCAAGTTAAGGTGATGGTTTAACATCTACGCTTTAGTTTATATTATGTTGCACATATTTAGGTCGTACGTTCTTAAATCCTTATTTTTTCGATTTCCAGACTAAATCTATAAACACCGGCTTAGGAGGTTTCGACGTCCGTAGAAGATTTCATGTACATCTTGATATCAAACATATTGTAGGTACTTTGTCTCAACAAGTACATACCAAATTATCGAGAGGGTACGTACCTCTCTTAGACGAGGGATTTAAATAGTCATAGATTATTATTTTTTGATAACTATTTTGGTAAAACGATTGATCTTAAATAGAGAGAAAAAAAATATATATGTATAGAGATGATAGATTAAAGGACTTTCA